CCAGTTCACAGAGACCACAGGGGACAGAGAGAGCCTACTCTTCAGTCTTCCAAGGGGTCAGTGCAGCTCCTCTTGTGACCTCCTGACGGCCGCTTCCGCGAGCGCTGCCGAGCAGGACAAAATCCTTGACAACTTCAGCCTGTTCTCCACTGATCACGACGTGACCTCTTGGTCCAATGGGGGGACTTGGGCTTATATGTCATGTTGTGAATGACAGGCCGCATTTCCCTGAGTGCCCCCTACCAGGCGCTGCCCGTGGCTGAGCCCCAAGTTGCCCTGACAGGGACGGAGGGTCAGCCTGGTTTTTTAAAAAAAATTTGACGCCCATGGCAAAGCGAGTAGTTGCCAGCAGGCTGCCCCTGACTGATGGCCCCTCGTCCCCATCCTCACCTGGCTGGCCGCCAGTGACCCTTCTCCCTCCATGCCACGGCTCTTGTGGCCTTTGCCACCAGTGACACCCAAGTCACCTGGGTACCTGATACGTGCCCCCTGCCTGTCCACCGGGAGCCACTGTGGGGCTGACCTGCCTCCTGGCTCCCTCCATGCACAGTGCCGTCCCCAGGGCGGCACCCACTGCCTGGTGTCTGCAGCTGCTGCCGTGGCTTCCGGAGCCTGGCCCCACTGATGTGCCACCTTCAACGCTGTCCCCAAGGAACTGCGACCCAGACCCAGCTGTCTCACCACGAGTCAGAATGGACACGGCAAAGTGACTCATTTTGACAATTAGGCCTGGTGGCGCGTGGCTAAGCACTCACCTGCTACCCCAAAGGTGGAGGGTTCAAACCCACTCACTCACTCCAGGGGGTAAGGCCTGGTGGGCTCGTCCAGGAAGACAGCTGCCTGGGCTGTCCAGGGGTCAGTTCTGCTCTGTCCTGCAGTCACTGGGAGCAGCGAGGGTATGGCTGCCACTTGGGACTGGACTCTGCCCCTGGGCGATGTGCCCACTGGGTCTTGTGTTTGTGCACTGAAGAGACGGTGACAGTGGACAGCAGGAGCACCTGCCTCCTGGGCCTCGTCCCCTGCCTGTGCCACCGCTACTGCTCACTGGGGGAGGGACCCATGGCTCCCAGGTCTCACACCTGTCTCTCTCCCGCAGGTGATCAGGGACGTGTGCAGTGGCTGCAGTGCGCCCCTGGACTCCGAGTGCCCTCCCCTGTCCAGCTCCCCCGTGCACAAGGCCGAGCTGGAGAAGGTGGGTCTCCCCTGGGGGTGGGCAGAGCCTGAGAGAGCTCTCTGTAAACACACAGAGGTGCAGGGGTGGTGGGTGGGGTGGCGCAGGGTAATGGCTTCTCACCACCAGGGCTGCTTC